CACTGGCTCACTGTTCAACGAGTATAATTTGAAGCTATTCATGGGTGCTTGTGTTTTTTCTTCTGTTGGATATATCACAATTGTATTAATCGGTCTCAGTTTGGCGTTGAAGAATCCTTCATCATCATCATCTATCGGGTACTAAATAAACTGCCAAAAGCATTTAGGTATTGAATACTCCAAACAGTAAAGGATGTTGCCATTCATCTAAAACAGTTGGTGCTCTAAGTGTATGTGTGTGTGTGTGTGCAGAAGAAGAAACAAGCCAGCCGTCCACTCTCACTACCCTGGCCTTCTCTGTGGAGCCTATAAATTCATGCATTCTGTCTCATTGTTATTTTTTCTAATATGTCTGTCTGATATTTAGCGTAGTGCATGTGTTGACATTGTTGCATACTATCACACTTACAGATGCTTTAGTGGACTGTAATTTATTCAAAATTATTGATTGATTCGATGTTATTTAAACAACATTAGCGTTTAAAACAAGCAACAAAAGGTGCTGATAAAGCAGGATTTAATGAATTCACTCAAATTTCGGTAGAACTCGTCCACTGAATACCTTACATACACGGAGATATATATATATATATCCGTGTATGTAAGGTATTCAGTTGACGAGTTCTCCCGAAATTTGATGAATCCATCATTAAATCCTGCTTTTATCAGCACCTTTTGTTGCTTGTTTTAAATTCGTATCGAGAAATATAGATGTTTTCAACATTAGCGTTGTTAATAACCCTAATTCTTTCATCATTTTCAACAGTTTGGTTTGTAAGGATTGGATTTGTATTTTTGTTGTTTTTTTTTAACGAGTTTGACCATGGATTGATATCAGTTAGAGAACCAGAGAGTACTGGACAGCTGCTGTTTCATCCCAGTTTTAAGAATCAGTACGCACTTACTGGGTTTCGAAATTAGAACCTTCCAGGTTACAAGGCAAGCTGGCAGGTAGTCTATTCAGCCACCGGGACCCGATTCCTTAATGACCAGTGCATTAATTCTAGCTTCTACCAATTCGTGATTTAGCGCGATCACTAACCAGTGTCATAGGTCCCTCCTATCGAGTCCCACTGGTTGAATGGTATACGAGCCAGTTTACCTTGTAACCGGAAGGTCCTGGGTCCGAACCTTGGCAGTGGATGAATACTGCCAATGACTTCCAAAACTAGATATGAAACAGCAACTGTCCAGTACTCCCTGTGGCTGGTTTTCAATGATTCTCTTTCATCCTCATTATTATATAGACGGATATATAAGTGTAGAACCTGAGCAGGTTATCAAAGAGAAAATTCTTTTCTCGTTTGGTGATCAGTCTTTTGAAATTACTTTAAAAGCCTTTGTTCAATCCCGTAACTATTGTTAGTAGATGAGATGCAGGAACAGTGAACATATCACTTCTTACACGGCAAAAAAAAAGATCATTTAGTGTATTCTAGTTTTCTACAGTTGACTGCTATTGACTTCCGATTAGGTCTACTTATCATCCATCCATCCTTCCATCCATCTATCTACATCCACCCCACTCCATCCTTAAAAAATTAGTCGGAACCTTAAAAAAGAAAAACAAGTATCTCTTATGTCATATCTGATCAATATATAATCTCGATAATTCTACAACTATTGACACTTCCTGTCACTTAAGATCTTATCCCATTTATATAATAATAATAATATAAAACTTATAAGGTGTAAGAGTAAAGATTCATGCATTGTAGGGTCATTTTATTATATTACACCTGAAAGGAAGTATTAAAAATTCAATTAACTATACTTATTAAGAAGTTTTGATATCTTCATCTCTTAATTACACACACACACACACATACACGTACGCATGCACGCACGCACACAGGCACCCATACGCGCACACAACCCACTCAGACACGAATACAGACTTTAAGTGATGCAATGATGGATTATAATATCCATTACTCTTGTATCCTTTCTCATTACACATTGTCCATTTGTTAAATAAAAAAAAATTTAAAAAAAACATTTAAGAAAAACAATTTAACTTATCAAGATGAACAAAATAAGGTATAAATCTCATTGGACAGGAAGTGTTGCATAATAATAATAATAGATAGAATGATTTTTGTGATTTTGTGTAGCATTGCTTGGAATAAGTATATCCATTAACTGAATAATTATTGTATTGGGTTGTGTGAAATGAATAATTCCTACGCCCTCTCTACTCTCTCTCTCTCTGTTTGTGTGTGTGTGGTGTCTCCCTCTGCTCCCTACCCCCACTTCCCTTATCTATATCTTTAAGCTGACCATTTATTTACAAGTGTGACTAGTGCGAATAAGGAGTATTTTTTGTACTTGTGGTGGTGGAAAAATTTTGTATTTGTGCTGGCTGGGGTGTTTGTATGCCCATATATACAACTAAACTGACTGAAATGATCGTGAGATAAGAAAATGATTTCATGATTTAAAGTTTCCCAAACTATAGGTTAATGATCTTAGTATTAACTGCATATATATATAGGGGTATGAAGGATGAATTATTATTATATCCTTTAGTTCCTAGAGGAACATAGGGCTTCAGCTGCCCACCTTTATTGGCTTCTGTTTTCTGACAACATTTTCACCCCACTCCAGGTCTGTCCACATGCTTTCATCTCCTCCTCTTCACATGACCTCCTCCAGGTCACCCCACCGTTGCACTGACGACCAACTCGCCACCCGCTTCCCTTTCGGCCGGGTTCCACTCGAGCAATGGCTTGTCTACTGATGCCAGTCACTTGATGGCTAGTTTTCTCAGAGTATGGCTAGCCAATCCATCTCCATTTCTTCCTGTCTATTTGTTTCACAATCGGTTCCTGCTGTGTTGGTTCGCTCATTCCCAGAGATCCCACCCTGTTGCTGATCTTTTCTGGCCGGCCATCTGATCTTCAGTATTGAGCGAAGACAGCTGTTAATGAAGGTCTGAATTTCGTTTGAGATGCTCTTTATGACGCGCAGTGCAAGTCTCTGATCCGTATAGTGAGTAGCACTGACTGACTTCACATTGGAGTTGAAAATCCGGATGTAATCTTCATTTTAATGCTGAGTGCTGTTGACCTCCACACACATTTGTGAGTAATGAAAGCTTGTCTTGCTTTTCCGATCCTTGCTGCTTTGATATCCTCGTCAGTTCCGTCGGCCTGTAGTTGAAACGATGCTTCGCAGGTAGGTGGGTAGGTGAAGGAGATTGTTTCTTTCAGGTCCCTCCCATTTATGCCGGCTGATTGTTGTCTGTTGTTGCTGTTGCTGTTGCTGCTGTTGTTGGCCAGGAATCTTCATCATCTCTGTTTTGTCTATGTTCACCTGAAGGAAGTCCTATCTTCTCTGGATGTTTCTTCTGCCAACTTGTTGTTTTTCACTTGCATATCTTCCTGTTCGTGGGAAATCAGACATATACATGACATCGGCGAAGTCGAGATCCTCCAAGTTCCCTTTTTGTGTGAGTCCATTTTATGCCTCTCTATCAGAATGTTAAAGACTTTTTGCCTAACAAAAATGTTCTTATCAAGTGGCGGTGGTTTGTGTAGGGGATTCGACTAGTGACAGATTCGTTCATGAGCTGAAATCGGTTAGAGAACCACTAGAAAGTCAAAGAGTGTTCGGGCAGCTGTTTCGTCCTACTTTTGAACTCTTCAACTCTGTAGACATCCAGTCAAGATCTTATAGGTTCCAGTGGCTTAGTGAAGGGTGTGCGAGTTGACATTGTATTAAACGGAAGGACCTGGGCTCGAGTCTCAATGGACGTGTACTACAAAATAGATTTATCAGTTATAAGTCACATGTGTAAGCAGGTGGTTGTGACAAGAATAGTTGGATACAGGTCAACCCAAATCACATGAGATATATCTGTCAGTAACATCTTGAAGGTGTTTAAAAAAGTTGAATAATACTTTCACATGAATGTTCTTCTTTCCTTTCCATTCCCAGTGAAACATAAGACTGCAAGCCTTTTGAAGTCCTAGTGGCAGTCGTTTTTGTTGTTTTCATGGGGTTGGAGTTGTTAAGCTTAACCTTTATTCTGAGGCATACCATCTCGGCTAGTAAACTAGGCGATAGTTGAGAGAATGTTGACCAAGGCTTGCACCTGGACTACGCATGTGGCTGGCAAGCAAACTACCACACAGAAACACCCTGACTCTTTATAACTTCACAAATTGTCAACTTTAACTAACTTGGAGGGATAATATTGTCTATACTTTGCTTTGTAAGGGTTTAGTTTTGTTTTTTACGAGTTGATCACGCACGGATTGATATCAGTTAGAGAACCATTGAAAACCAGCCACAGGAAGTACTGGACAGCTGCTGTTTCACCCTAGTTTGGGAATCATCGTCAATACGCACCCACTGGGATTCGAACCCAGGACCTTCTGGTTACAAGGCAACCTCGTATACCATTCACCAACTCACTGGGACCCGATTCAATGGCCAGTTCATGAATTCTAACTTCTACCAATTCATGATTTAGCGTGACCTCAACCATTATTGTTGGTGGGACATCCATCCACACACGTGACATCTAATTGGACCTCACTGGTCACGACTTCTCACTAGAACTCAAGAAATTCCAACCTGTAGCAAGTCACTAGCGAGCATCAGATTAACTATCTATAGTTTGGTTTGTAAGAATTAGTTATGTTTCTAAGAGTTGATCACGCACGGATTGATGTCAGTTAGAGAACCATTGAAAACCAGGGAGTACTGGACAGCTGCTGTTTCATCAGCCTAGTTTTCGAATCATCGGCAGTACACACTCACTGCACTGATCCATTGAATCTCGCCCCTTGTGGCTGAATGATATACGAGCCAGCTAGCTTGCCTTGTAACCGGAAGGTCCTAGGTTGAAACCCCAGTGGGATAATATTCTTCAAGTAAAATGAAGTGGTTATTTAGTACTGTTTAACTTTGAATGATTTCAAAAAATTAGTTAGTTAGTTCTTTCGCATAGTAATACTCCTTATAATTACCATTTTTGTTTTCTCCCCCTACAGTTATCCTTATTACCGAGACAATAAACAAGGTTGGCAGAATTCAATACGACATAATCTCAGTCTGAATGATTGTTTTGTCAAAGTACCCAGAGATGATAAACGACCTGGTAAAGGCTCATTTTGGACTTTACATCCAGAAGCACATGGAATGTTTGATCATGGTTCCTATTTAAGACGAAAACGTCGATTTAAAACTGACTTAACATCAACAGAACGTTATTGTAGTCTGAAAAAACGCTCCAGTAGTATTATGGAGGAGAATTTGTTAAAGTCAATAGGCAGAAAGAATTGGGATGAAAAAACAGTGAATTCTAGTGATATCAGTAAGATGAATGAAGAGAATAATAATGCCAATGTTGATGAAGTTGAAGATGATGGGAACGACGAAGGGATTGGTGATTTCTATGATGACACTGTGGAAAGAATAAGTAAATCTCATACGAGATTAACAACCTGTGAAACACAACAGAATTCTAACATATATCAGACGGTGAATAATTTTGATAGTGTTAATACTACGGTTAGTACTATTAGTACTACTGTTACAAATAGTGTTAATGCTACGATTACTGCTACAACCACAGTGACTACTTCAGATACCAGCTATCATCCACTCTTATGCTTACAACGTCAGGTTGCAGATCAATCAGATTCACTTAATAAGTCATCGTTTAAACTGAAAACTTCCGATGATACGATCCAGCCACATCAACAACAACAACAACAACAACCACAGTTTCATGAACATTTAAATCTACCAATGAAATATAAAGATGAATACAGTCAAAGTGACAGGAGTTATTATACACTGGATACGAATATTGTTCCATCTAAACCTTGTGGTATGCTTCAGAGGTCAAATGAATCATTTCAGACGAATGAGGTTTGTTTGCTGTGTAAATAATAATAATAATAATAATAATAACAGCTTTATTCCAAACGGTATTTGTGGTACAGGTATGGAATTTTCAGCGTGCATTACAATATATTGCATCTAATTACCTCATAAATTATATAAGATTTTTAAAAATCAAAAAAATCAATAAAAACCAACGCCAAAAAAAGATAAATAAAAATTTAAAAAAAACAGCGTAGAGTTTACATTTCAAATAATGCACCACAGGATATGAAATATAAAGTTGATGTGTGATGATAGAAGATGAGAACAACAGTGTAATAGTAACGAGGAAAGGAAAGCCAAAACTAATGGGACTATTTGTTAGAGTGTCGCAGTAAGTTGATCGTGTCATACCTAACAGATTTCTAATCACACATAATAGCTGTGCCAGATATACTATTGTGGAGATTTTGTATTTGGTAGTCCTAGCATATAGCCAGCCAGCCTCCTGTAGCTGCTTCTAGTTCTACCACATGAAATGCAAGGGGACAGCTGTGTATAGAGGGGATTCTCGGGGTCTAACAATATTGTATTCGCTAGTTCCCTACAGGACATTATATCTCTATCCACAATAGTGTTAACCAGTTAGTTGGTTTAACGATATCCCACTTGCCCTACTGAATGACGGCTTTTAGTGCCTGCCCTTCTCAGCAAAGCAATGCAAAGTCTTTCTTAAGTAGTCCAGTCCAGGAAAGATTAATGGGGAGCAGTAAAGGGGGATGGGTAGAATACAAGAATTGACAAACTGAGAAAGCAAAGACTGCTTTATGCCAGACTGCCTAAATTTCCTAATGTAGAACGTTAAGCGAAACATCTTTCTAGTAACTAGCAAGATGTGGGAAGACCAGGAAAGATCGGTGGAAAACCTCAGTCCAAGGTACTTGACATTAGATGTATTTTCAACCTCTGTGCCGTCAATGATAGTGGGGCCATGTGAGCTAACTTGTTGCTGTAGGTCACATTTACGTCTGAATCTGAAATTGACTACCTGACATTTAGACGGATTTAGCTTAAGTCCGTTTGAAGAGGACCACTGACTAATTTCCGACAGAAAGTTATTTAATTTGGAACAATCTCACTGAGAGTTGACAGGCATAGATATAGAGAGGTCATCAGCATACTTAACAAAACTGGCTACATCAGAATAAGGCAAGTCATGTAAGAAAGAAAAACGAAAACAGAAAAGGAGAAAGAACAGTCAGTACCTTGAGGAACACCAGCTAAAGTAAGTGAGGTAGTGGAGGACTGACTTTCCATTGTAGACGGTGCACTGCTTCCTATCAGAAAAATAGGAATGCAACCATTTATTTGTCCAGCTCTCAGCCTGTGTTGCAGCAAGCTTACTTACTTAGCAAGAGAGACCTGGGAACAGAGTCAAATGCAGATGTGTAATCAAGGAAGGAAGGCACAGCGAACGTATATAGCTCCTTTATCTAAACTAGAGACTATACCATGATGTAGGACAACAGCGGCATCTAACATACTCCTACTATGTTTATTAAATTGGCGATTGGTGACTAAAAGTGTGGAATCCGTGGTGTGTATTTCACACCCTCTTATTTGGATCTCGTCACAGCTGGGATGTACCTGCACTGCTTCAGTGTGCGATAGTGTTCCCATTGGGGAGCACGAGAGCCTCATTCTGTGCAGTGAATATTGTGCTTTTTTTCACAGCAAAAAATGTGTTGCCTAATAAAATGAAATAGACAGTCAAAATATCATGGAGAGAAGTGCTTTGGTGGTTCAGTAAGTTTACTGCATTCATGACTCATAACTCAACTAAATGTGAAAGTGAAAGGCCAGTAACTTAGGCAATCGATAGTCTGTTGTAAATGTATACACACACACACACGTATTTCAGCGTAGTCGTAATTAACTTTTTAGTCATTGTTTTAAGTGAGAGATGTAGTAGGCATAACTGATACTTTTTGTGGCCAAACTTGTTAAAGTTACTGAATCATGCCTGGATTAAAGGTATAACTGAGATGTGTTCTTTATGTGCTTTTTAATAATAATAATAATAAATAATAGCTTTTCGAGTTAGACCACAGATTGATGTTGACGAAACAACTACTGAAAACCAGGGAGTACTGGACAGCTGCTGTTTCATCCTAGTTTGGGATTTATCGGGAGCACGCATCCAGCTGGGTTTCGAACCTAGAACCTTACGGTAACAAGGCAAGCCCGTATACCATTCAGTCACTGACGCTTGCTAGTGATTTGCTACGGGACAGAGTTTCCTGAAGTCCTAGTCAGAAGTCGGTACCAATGAGGACCACCCAGTCGGGAGTGAGGATGTAGTCCCCGCCGATGACATTATTTTGGTGGTGGCGGTAAAAAATCACGAATTGGTAGAAGCCAGAACTCATGGACTATTTAGTTGGGTCCCAGTAGCTGAATGGTATACGGCTTATCGTGTAACCAGAAGGTTCTGGGTTCGAATCCCAGTGGGTGCGTACTGCCCATTGAATCCCAAACTAGAATAAAAACAGCTATCCAGTACTTCCTACTTGGTTTTCAATGGTTGTCTAACTGAGTTATCCATCTGTGGTCTAACTCAAAGAAACAAATCAAGTCCTTGCAAATCAACTGTTGAAAATAATAGCTTTGTTCTGAAATAATATTTATGTAATGTACAGAATATTCACCGAAGTTTATTGCATAATATTTCCTTTTCGTTCACGATTTTTGAATAAAAGACTTGACTGACTGACAGTATAAATAAATAAATTTATTCTCATGGTACAGTACATGAGGGACACCAGTTTACAGGCATCATCAAATCGTTATGGAAATAGAAATAGAACCATATTATTCAATCACAATTTACAGGTGGTAGCAAGATATGCTTTACATGTTCGCTGGAGATTATACATACACTTCGTAAATGTTAATCCCAGTAGTATAAAACAGCCTTTCCGCTTATATACAATCATTTCTGTGCACAGTTGGAAAAATCTGCTAGATTGTCAGTGAGTGTAACACATCAGGAAATACAGAAGTATTGTCTTCGCATTAACAAAAAAAACCAGGTCTTTGGTGGATGGGTTATAAGTGCCTGGGAAAAAAAAATAAAGCTTGAAGTCAATTTTCATGCATAACTTTGTTGTGTACAGAATCCTTGAATTATAGTTCATTGATGTGTTACTTTGAAATCAGTGATGTGTTTATATCTCATTTGATCTGAAATGTTATTGTTGGGAGTAATTACATAAGTTTTAGATGCATTTATCAATGGATTTCTGCTGCTCGTGGGTATTTACTTCTCGTGAGGAAGGTTTTTGAATTTTAGTTGTTCCGACAGGAGTTGTGGATATTAACTGCAGTTGCATCTATCTGATCTGAAATGCGAACCAATCCATAATTATGATATCTCTTCTTTTCTCTTCTTTGAGTAATACACAATGACATTTTGTTGAATGCCAATTATGTTTAACAATTCAGCAGTACATTTTGTGAAGCTACGACACCACTGAGGATGATCTGTCATCCATCGAGTTTGATAGTGCTGTTTCTCATGTTTAATAGAAATTTGTCAATAAAAAGGGTTGTAAATGTTTTCAGTACTCGCTAGAGTAAACAATACTATTAAAGGTTATATGTCAGCAAACTTAAACAAAGTGAATAAGAGAAATTATATGCAATATATTTATGTTGATGGAGGTTTTCGGTAAGCCAAGTTTTAAGGAGGTTGTCAACACATGATAGGTGATTCACTCACTTACTCCTATATATACATACATAGGATTTAATCATGAGCTGATATCAGTTAGAGAACCATTGGAAAACCATCTGGGAGTACTGGAAAGCTGCTGTTTCGTCCGCCTAGTTTGGGACTCTTCAGCAGTACGCACCCACCAAAGGGTTCGAACCCAGGACCTTCTGGTTACAAGGCCAGCAAGCGAGCTCGTAGACCATTCAGCCACTGGGACCCGATCCAATGGCCAATCCTTGAATTCTAACTTCTGCCAGTTCACGATATAGCGCGACCAATTCGCAATGTCTTCTTTGATGAGTGAATGACTGCCTCATCTTTAACCTGCTGTACCCTACTGGTCATGGCTTCCCACTAGAACCCCAGGTTAACTGCCTGAATAGGGCCAGTCGCTAGTGAGCATCAGATTAATTTTCAAGTATTGGTTTTTTGTTGGGATTTTGTGTTTGATTGTATGGAGGATTTCACCGGTGGGTGCGTACTGCTGAAGAGTCCCAAACTAGGACGAAACAATCGTCTAATACTCTCAGGTTTTCCAGTGGTTCTCTAACTGATGTCAGCTTATGATTAAATCCTTCATGTAATCAAACAAAATCCTTACAAAACCAATATTTGAAAAAAATGTATATACATAAGACAAAAATTCAAATTGCGCAGATTGTCAGTCTATTTGTTTCTGTGATATAAAATCAATCAATACACCGAAAAAGGTTAAAAATTATGACATTTTCGACAGACAACTCACTCACTCACTCACCCCGTTGTTAAACACGTGCCGATGTATACGGGGTATTCAGTCAAAGCATTATTAACTTTTAGTCTGTTTCAGTATGTATATAGTCTATCTATCTAGCAATGCTGGTTGCTAGGACAATTTGGCTGTTAACTATAACACAAAATGTAGATTACAAGTCATTTATCAACCTTGACTTGAAGGTAGTTAGTTGAATTGGTCTTAAAAATGGAAAGCTTATTCATTACTAATAGTCACTACTGAATATATACATATATGCGTATTCACAATTTAACTTTTCTACTGATAAAGTTTAATTAATCTAAGCATTACGTAATCAATATAAGGTGGCTGTTCCGTATTGTACAATTCTACCTGTTAGTATATGTCTCAACAGAGTTATGACAGAGTGTAGAATTTCAGTCAAACTAGACATGTAAGAAAGGTATTTTTATATCATACAGCATAACTTAGATAAACCAATAAGAAAAGTTATTGAATTGAATTTTTGATTTTCCCGTCGATTGATTGATTGGA